GAAGGGGGGTGGGGGGGTGGGGGAGCTCTGCCAGCCTGCGAGGGAAAAGCCATGGCTTTTCTTCTTTAAAGGAGAATCCATTTTTAAAGTTTGGTCGGGACCCTTTCATATATTGTTGCAACTTTCAGGTCGTGACCTACAAGTTAAGAAATGCTGGACTAGATGACCTCTGGAGGTGCGGTACAGCCCTGCTTCTCTAAGAGTAGGGATGCCCCATCCCCCCAAGTAGCTAGAGCCCCATTTTTCTAAATGGGTTCACTAAAGTTTAGGCACCCAGCTTGAGGCCTCTCTGGAGTTACCCATCAGTGCTGGGTGCCTGGCACCTTGCTTCCCCAAGAGGGGAGTGTCTACAGGTTCGTTAATGTGCATTACATTTAGTGAGGTACTAGAAAAAGGCGCATACGCCTATTTTATGCTCATTAGTGAAAGAGCACAGTTTTTTGTGACACTAAAATAGGTAAATGAGCATTAAAACACATGTGTAGACATGCCCTAGAAGGTCTGAGAACATGTCCATGTTTCATTTGACCTCACATTTGTGGTGCCGGCACCCCCAGGGGAATGTGGAGTCACTGCATCACAGTATTCTCAAGTTTTGCACAAGGGTGAAACATTAAAGAAGATTGAAAGAATCCAGCTTGTAAAACCACGGAGACAGGGGGTCGTGATCTGTGGGATAGAACCCAACTCTGCAGTCTTTGCAGTAAATGGCAAAAAGCCTATTCATTCAAAGACAAGCATGCACAGAGCTACAGTTTTCAATACAAAGTAAAACCGAAAGGTCATTATAAGGAGCTTTGTGGGTAGGTCAATCCAGTACCTGGTGCGTCCTAGGGTCTGACCCACCTGCTGGCTCCTTCTGACCCCATCTCACCTCCAGTCTCTCATCTGCCTTGCCTTTGGTTTTTTTGTTTTGTTTATTGAGAAGGCAGTCCCTGGGGCTGAGATTATCTCCTATGGTCCCTTTATCTGTCAGTTCTGTTCTTGCTGATAGATCCAACTCATGCTTGTGGGGGGCTCTGCTTCCCTCAAGCCTCCAAGCACATATTAGGGCCTAGTCATCCTAGCCTTGGCCCCTTTTTCTCTGACCGAGCCCTCAGTCCTGGTGTGAGACCTCAGCTCCTGGGCCTCATCTCTGATTTCGCTGCAGCCCCTCCTGGGGCTCCAGTTTCAATCCTCCAGCTTTAGCCTCCTCAGGTTGGGTCTAGCTCCTGTCCCTGATAGTGGGAATGCCTCCCAGGCACCCTACCCATGGCCTCCTCCTCTATAGCCACAAACCAAAAACCCCCCAACCTAACTGGTCCTAACACAAATAAAAACCCTTCCCAAGCCCCAGGTACCTCTCCTGGGTTGGCTTGACTCCACGCAGCAACCAGTTGTTTCTGGGAGCTCCATTTCCTGTACGCACAGGGCCACACTACTCATTCCCTAACTAGAGGCTGGGTTTATATGCCCAAGCCCAGCCTCCTTCAGTCATGTGACCCTGTCTCCTGCTCCCCTCCCAAAGTTCAGATGCTGTTAATTCTGCAATCAGAAACCTGTCCTTTTCCAGCCTCTGGCTCCTTTCTCCTAGGCAGCTCACACCCACTGCTGCTTTGCCCTCAGGCCCCCTGCAGCCTACCTCTGGTTATACTCCCCTCCTTCCTAGTAATAGAGGCAGAGGTTCTCTGTTACAATCATAAAACCAATCTTGGCAAAACTCACAGATTATGTCTATACCACTCTGTACCTTTCTCTAGAGCACAGCTCTTGAACATGCTCTACCCACTCATTCCCATTTTCACTTTGCAAGAGCCAAACCCAGAAATAAGACAGTGAAACTGCCTTGATGACTTCTGTCTCCCATCCTTCCCTGAACCTGCAACAGAGACAGAGACCAGGAGACCACTGGCTGTGTTTCCTATGCACAGAAAGGGACTGGGCCTGAGTGGGTGGTGTGTGCTTGAGACTGGCGCTCCCTAGAGCACTTTGGAGTCATGTAGACACCCACAGTTTTATCAGCTCTCTTGATTTCATTGTAAATATTCTGAAATTTGGTGTTTCATCATTGATTCTCAATTTCTATAATAATAGGTTTATGTGAAAATATTGGCTTTCATGAAAAAAAATAAAGTATCTATGTCTTGTGCTTGTAGAGGAAAACTTGCAAATTTGATCTGAAGCATAGCTCAAGGGCTAAAAAGCAAATGGTACCCAAAAAGGACCCAAATATTATTTTTAAAATACTCAAGATTTTTGAGGCCTGACTCATGACTTTTGAACATTTAGCGCTGGCATTACTGAACCATTGTCCCTGGATAGGCTGTAAGGAGAACATGAAGGTTGGAGAAACCTAAAACCTGAAAGGAACTATTAAGAAACACTGAAAGAACATTCTTTATGAACAACTTAATGTGGTATAAGAATATATTTAAACATTAATAACTTTTCTTTAATAGATAGTCTATTTTATAATAGAAATAAAATACTTTAGAGGATACAGTACTTTTGATTAATGCCCTGTTCAGGTGCTTAGGAAATGTGTATGAAGTGTAAATGAATCAACACTCCTGCAGAGTCTGTCATACTTTATTACTTAATTAAAGTACTTCTTCTCTTACCTGACCTATTAGGGTAACTAGTTCCATTTATTTGTTGATAGCTTTAAAGATAGTCCAAGGGGAGGACATGTGCCAGGAAACTGTAAGGAGATATGGAACATTTGCTCTCTTGGACCCAGCTTTCAATCAGGCTTAGTAGTTACTTTTAGTCATTGCAGATGTTCAATGGACTATATGAGAGGTGGACTAGATGTACAGAAAGGCCTCTCGGGCTGGATCCTTTTTGGTTCAAGAGCCACCTATATTTTGGTATCTAAAATATAAGTACCTCAGCCCTAGAAAATGATCCAGTTTGCCCATTCAGAGACTGGAGATAGTTAAGGGCATCCACAGAATGATTCCAAAAGCCTAGTCATGCCTAGATGTAGACTTTAGTGGGTGTCTGAACTCTTACCCCTCCTGGAAGCTTAAGCCCTTGTCTCAAGTTGTACATTAGGCACCTATTGCTTGCTTACAGTACACTACATCTAGTCCTGTTTGGAGGGATGGCACCCAACTGACTGATGGAGCCCAGTGGTTTGAGCAATTATGCAGTAGGTGTCCTAGTTCTAGATCCTCTTCAATGTGGGAAATTCATACCCACATCTTCTGCTTTTCAAGAAACAGCCTAGGTTTCTACCCCTACAATTGAAGTTGGGTAATGGGGAAAGCAAGAATTCAAGAGGCATGGGGTATATGGTTTGAGCACTTACCTAGTGAGAGTCCTAGTTCTAGATCCTCTTCAGCCTGTGACATTCATATCTACATCATTCTGTGGATCCTTCCATCTCTGAACTGGCCCTACTGGATCCAGATTGATCTTGATTGGGCCCACAGACTGGCTTTGCACACTGAATCCAGTCCCTAGGGCCAGTCTAGCCTGGGCCATTTGCATGCACCACATGACCTGGATGAATCTGATACCCCGATATCCCTGGACTAGAGCAGTCAGAGGCATAATGTGATGCTGAGTGACCTGGGCACAGTAACATATGGGTCAGGCAGCATTACTGCTACAGGAAGGTATATTCCTTTATTCAAGATTCTCACCTTAAACCCTGTCCTGGGGCTAGGGTCCTTAGCCTTACACACTTTCTTTCACAAAGCAAGCAAGGGTCGGTCCATCCTTTCAAAATATGGGGAAGGGAGCCTGTGCCTTTTTTATTTGTTAGCTTCATGGATAACAGAGCCTGGATTCACTTCCTTCCTCTGAGCAAATTCAAAAGTATATCACCTATCTCCCAGGAGCTCTCCGTAACCACCAAACTATAGGCTATTTTGGGTGAGGCTCTTAATGCTTCCTGTTGAAGCTGTTCCACTCTGCATGAAGTAATTAAATATTCATTGGACCAGAGTGAGAACGAAACAGTTAGCGTAGCTCTCTGGCCTATACTTAGGACATTTACTGGAGAGGTGGCAAAAATGAGTTCCAGTGCCTGCTCCAATAAAGGTTTATAGATTTTTTATTAACCTGTTATTAGATAAAATACATAAACATCCTTTGTTGCATAGATTGGTGAATACATCTAACCACCACTATGCTAGAAAGGCATGTTCATTCTTGATCATTTTCTCTCTGACTCAATGAATATTTAATTCCTTGCAAAGTGGAACAGCTTCAAGACCAGAGACTGAGTCAGGCTTCTCCATCCCTGCATCCAAAGAGCCTGTAGCTCGATGGTCAGGGCACTCTTATGGAGGTTTTGAATCCCTTCAGGTAAAGAAAGGAATTTGGCTTAAGTCTCCTACATCCTGGGTGAAAACACTAACCTTTGAACTATTGGACAAATATATATATTGCAATGACCTTTT